TTTACTGGTTTTTAATTTTTTTCAGGAACTATCGAAGATTTTCTTAAATCTATATCCCCAATATTTCTTAAGAATATTTCTTCAATGACCATCGTGAATTACTTCAAGACTTTCGTAGATTTTTTAAAAATATTTCTTTTTTCTTAACTATTTCTTTAGAAACTGTCGTTGATTTTTTATCAGAATATTTATTCTTTGAAGAACATTTCATTAAGGAAATTCTGGACAACAATCCTGGATTTTGAAGGATATTTTATTAAGGACTAGCAAAGGAATAGGTTTTTTTAATTTTCTTTAAGGACAAACAAATCTATAATAGTGAATTCAATACCACAGCATGGAGGTTTGTCATTTCGCTTTTATCGCCAGATTATGTATTTTGGTATTGCAAATGGGTCATATAAGACCATGTTATGGTATGGCCTCACATAACTGGACCTCCGTCGTCAAAAACAAAGCGCATTCTAATTATCTGACATATGATTTTTTGACATTGAGCAAAGCTGCTCACATTTCTTTTATCTTTCTCTTAACTTATAGTGAGTGATACCAACACAAATGCTTACCTTCCATTTTATCGCATGGTCGACCCCTGCACTTTGAACAACATCAGTTTCTACTGACCAAAGCTTCAATCTTCTTTGAAGGTTCATCGAAGATTTGGTTGAAATATTATTGATGTTCCATCGTATCTACAATTTTGTGTGCCATTCGTGAAAGCTGGTTCAACGACTCAATGCTCACCGATAAAATATCTTAAGTCTGCTTGGGAGTACGTTGTTTCTCTCATTCTCTCGAAGAAATGTTGATGGCAACCGTTTTTCTTCAGAGTCCATGAACCGAACCTGTATACTCTTTTTTAACGTTTCATACATATTCGAAACTGTAATTTATTTCGGAAAAATTATGGTATCATTAAATCCATCAATGATACGAAATTTGGTGAAATCGAATGAAATACATGACGTTATGAATTGGCTTTCTACTTGCTTGCAACACAACGCCGGATTATTATGCCGAAAACGTTGAAATGCTTACTGCAACTCTTGATGTTTTTATGTTCTATCTCCTAGATTTCATGGATTATAGTCCTATTGTCTTACTCAGGTGATGGAGGGCTTGCTTCATCTGAGAAGACTTAATCCAGCATTTCTCCGTTGTCTTGACTTGCATTTCTTTGTGGGCTATGAAATATTTTGTTTTATATCAAGGGGCTTCGTTAATACCAATTTTGTCCGTATTATTTTATATAAAATGTTTCATTATTTTCAAAACCGTTCCCTTTAGTTAATTTTTTTAGAATAAATATTTTTAAATTTTCATTTTATGGAAAAAGAAAATTCTTGGGTAAATTGATTTGAACAAATTTCAATGTTAATAAAAATTGCAAGTAAATAAAAGTAGTGTAAGCGATTTGAAAAAATATTTGTTCAAATTCAACAAATTTAAAAGTATCAGTCGGTTTTTGCCGACAGATATATATCCGCAGCTTGTGTAAGTTTATTAAAATATGTTTTCAAAATGTTGACCCTTTATGGAAGTGATACCGAAGGAGTGGACCAATATTTTCTTGTCATGTGATATAAATATTTCAACATGACCGATTAGGGCTACATCGACTACTTTCTTCACATTTCATGAGATATGTTATAATTTTTGCAAAATGTTGAAAAATGCGGACCGAAGTATTCCACTTCATCTAATACTGGACATTAATTTCCAAATTTTTCCGAATAAATGACAATCGAAATGATCAAATTTTTTGGGAAAGTACCCGAAGGAATGGACCCATAGATTCCTTATTCACAACAGAACCTTGAAGGTTGGGCTGATATATATAATTTTCACGCCAGATCTTGTCTTAGCAGAAATGTTGGATTGTGAGAAGTTTAAGAAAAATCGAATGCTTATACCGCATTTTATAAGAGATATATTTATTCAAAATGTTGTCCCATTGTGAGGCAGGTACCAAAAGGAGTGAACATATATATCCCATCTTCGCAGCAGATATTTTATAAATAAAAATATTGGGCTTTGTGAAGCTTGAAGGGAATCGGGTATTTATTTCGGATTTTTTGAGAGATATAATTATTTAAAATTTTCACCCGTTGTGGAGGAGGTACCAGATGCAGTGGTCCGATATATTTCATATTCATACCAGATTTTGTATTGATAAAAGTATAAAGATGTGTGAAATTTGAAAGAAGAAAATCCAACTCCCATTTAACATTTTATAAGAGTTATAATTATTCAAAATTTTCACCCTTTGTGGAAGGGGTAAGAGGGGCTGGACGATCCTTTCGTGATCTATAATGTAAATTATTTTATGTGAAAATGTTAACCTTTTGTGGGGGAGGTACTAGAAGGAGTGGACCGATATTGCCCATCTCCGAACTCGATCTCAGTTTGATAATAATATTACGATGTATAAAGTTTGGATCAAATCGGATACTCTTTTCGAGAGTTATCGTAGATTAACTCCAAATGCCCTGAAACGGATTAGGTCTAAAGAGACCTAGGGTCTAAAACTATTATTTTGTTAAGGCAAGTTTTGGCCATATCAAATGATATATACCCCCTGAATACTTAAATTCCCTATGAAACCTCCATATATTCGGTATTTTGATGATTTTAGCGATTAATATTTGGAGTAGGTCAATGGTCGGATCCAAAGTTTTCCTGATGGTGTAACTTTTTACGGGAATAGAATTTAAAATAGGTATCACCTCCCATGACAGCTAAATGTCTATACAGGTGTACTTTTCCGTTTAGACCCACAGAACGTTAGCACTCCATATTCGGTATTTTGAACCGCATTCTTCAACGGAATTTTCTTAAATTTGGTATAGCAAATTCCTAATAACAGAACAAATGCTCGCTCGAATGGTATATCTCAGCACTTTTAGAGATATTTTCAAAAGTGTTACTTTTCAAGTGTAGGAACGTATTAAAATTTCGGATCCGCCGAACTTTTTTGTACCCTACACCAAGTAGTGGTAAGCGTATTATGTCTTTGTGCATTTGTTTGTAACATGGAGAAGGAGGCGAGATAGAGCCGTAGTTACTTTTGACGATCTTCATAGAATAACTTTCTGAGTCGATTTATGCATTCAGCGCGTTCGTCTGTCCATGTATTCTTGTGAACAAAATAAAGGTCGCATTTATTATCCCGTTAATATGAAACTTTCCAAATAATATTTGTTTGATCCAAAGACGAACCCTATTGAAATTTGGTGAGATTCGGTTCAAATTTAGATGTAGCTCCCATATATATCTTAAACCGATTTCGAGTTAATTGTGCACTTAATGGCCAATATCAGTCCAACTGCCCTGAATTTTGACACATCCAACCGAATTCAGTCTAGAAGCCAATGAAAGCAAGTGGTGAAAATCGGTTCAGATATAGCTTTAGCATCCATATGTATGTTTCATAAGATTTGGGGTCCCACACAGGCGTAATATGAACTCCACAACAATGATCTTTGGCACAAGATCACTTATGGAGCTCAAAATTACCTCTGTCATATTTTAACGAGATCGGAACGGATTAGAATATGGCTCCCATATATAACTTGATCCGATATCAGGTTTTTTGTGCACCAAACAGCTAATACAGGGTTGCCCATATTCGACGGACCCATCTGGCAACGCCATAACTTTTGACAGAGATGTCACATCGCTTAATGACATACCGCCTTTGAAGCGTCAGTCCAAGCAGATTTTTACCATGAACCAATAAAAGCCATGCGAGCGCTTTGAAATAGTTGAAATTTACATTCAACAGAAGAAAACTCAACGTGCTTTTAAAACATTAAAAAATGTGAGAAGTGCGCCTTCTAAGAACACCATTAAGCGTTTATACGAAAAATTTTCGACTGGTAAGGCTCTTTCTAATCCAAAGAGGCCATATAAAAATCGACCAAGGCGATCGGCCGAGAATATCGCTGCCGTACGAGCCAGTGTTGAGAGGTCCCCAAGAACATCCCAAAAACGCTGTTCTCAGCAATTGGGCATGGCTCGGTCCACTTTACAAGGGATTATTCGCATTGTTTTGCATTTGTTCCCTGCGGACAAGCCTCGTCGATTGGAATGGGCCCAAAGAGTCATCGAAATGGCCGAAAAAAAACATGGGTCCGTCGAATATGCGCAACCCTGTATCAGTCCAAATGGACTGAATTTTGGCAATTCTGACGTATATTTCCATTTTGTGGAACTCGACTCCGACACAATGTTTTCTTAGCATAATTCTTCTCGAAGTGATATCACTCCATTGCAATGTTATTTAGCATAAAAGATAAAAATGTCTCCGTCAAATTTAGTGAAAATCGATTCAGAATTGGATATGCCTCCCATATGTTAGTTCCCTCTGAAACCATCTACTTCAAACAAATTCTTTTGTTACGGGAGCTCTACTAAATATGCATAGTAGTGTAGGTTATCATATAATCGGCCCGTCCTACTGTTGACCTTTCCTTACTGGTTTTTTACTAGTTTTAAATAAATTGACCTTTACGGAGAATATTTTTAAAGGACTGTTAAATAATATTTATGGAGATTTTGAGAAATATTTCTTCAAGGACAATAAATTAAGCAATCATAGATCTTGAAGAATATTTTTGTAGGAAGTGTCGATTTTTTAGAAAAAAATATGTTTTTTTTTAAATTTTATTAATTTATTCTCTGACAAAGGAAATATTACAACAAACTTAATATACCATCCATTCCATGGTAAGGTCTCAAAAACCACAACCTCATTAATTCCATTAGATGTAAAGATAATTTATGGAAAACAATCGCCCTCTTTTATTTCAGCCACTGAATAATATATAGCCTTCAATAAAAAAAAAACGTCCTTAGAGCTTTATAATATTCACTTGATAATTTCAAAGAAATTATAATGAACTCTTTCTACCACTGCATAATTTGTTGTGCCTGGCTCATTATGGATTCATATTTTCCCCATTTTTATGCTATTTTCTCCCTCTCTTCTTTCTTTACAGCTCCTATTCATGTTACTGCATTGACGGTTATACAGGTATTCAGTGCCAAACGAATTGGGATGAATGTTGGTCAGGACCCTGTCAAAATGGTGGTACGTGTGTCGATGGCGTGGCCTATTACAATTGTACATGTCCAGATGGGTTTTCGGGTAAGTTGTGGAACTTTTTGTATATAAACATGAAAAAAAAAACAATTTTGGTACATGGGACATACCAGAACAGCTAGCCAGCCAGCTGAACGAGAAAAATATGAAAAACATCGAAAAATGGCAACATCGATTTTTCGAACTTCAATAAATGCCAGGTTGTGGTAAATTTTTCCTAAATTATTGAAAACGTTACCGAGCTAGCAAGAATGGGGACTACATACATATGTATATACAGATAACATGAAGTTGCATGAAAAAGAGAATCCCATTTCATTTGCTATGGAATTGTAAAACATAATCGAACGTTGCATAAATGTATGTATACAACCAGTAAATGTTCATATCGTTGCCAAACATTGCCGGAACAACGATATGTTAAACGTATCTTATCCTTTATGCCTCGTTGACCTATATTTGTAAAGTTTGCTGGCAATGAATTGCTGATATCTACAAATGAAGGGAAAACCAAAATGTAGTTGCAAATTTCATATTTCATTGTTATCGAATAACAAGTAGCAAAGGCTCTGGAGAATTGCCGTTCAATGGAAATAATTAATTTTTGCAAAAGGAAAAAAAAATTCTAGTTTGGAAAGATGTCGTTAGGTTCCAAACATTAATGGCAGTTTGGTAAAGTGCACTAGAAAGATGTGCCAATAAAGGTAACAAGATATACTGTTTTTGGTAAAAGAAAGATTAATATGTTCAAGTTTGTACACAGGCTAATCTATATAAGATCAAGTTGGGGTGCTATGTATCCATAAATCTGCAAAATATTTTTAAATCGGACTGGTGAAGTTCTTATGGAGCAATACAAAGTAGTATAAATTGTAATACTATAAATTTTAAATTGTTTTGCAAATTTCATTGGAAATTCTTATAGCCTCGTTTAAAAATATTTCTTCAAAGAATGTACAGCTACAATCGTGTTTTTATTTTTATTTTTTTATTTTATTTTATTTATTTATTCTTTTTTTTTTTTTTTTGAGGTTGTTAATTCCGTACCTAAAAGGGCTGCACTCGCGATTTTTAAAAATAAATATTCAATTTCATATATATAATATTCATATTCATATATTCCGGGAATTTTATTAAAAAATTGCAAATGCCCACTACTTTGTATGCGAAAAAGGGAACAGATATTTAGTAAACTTATGAGTCATTTTTACACCAAATAGATAGCAATTAATTTGTTAATTTTAAGTTATAAGTTGGACGTATTATTTAATACACATCCAAAATTATTTACCAAATAAATAAATTTCAAATAAATTTCTAAAGGTACAGTGCAAAAATTAAAGAAAATCAGAGCTCTATTACAAATTGTACAGGGTTGTCCATATTCGACGGACCCATCTGGCAACGCCATAACTTTTGACAGAGATGTCACATCGCTTAATGACATACCGCGTCGACCAATGACATAAAAGTCGACCAAGGCGATCGGCCGAGAATATCACTGCCGTACGAGCCAGTGTTGAGAGGTCCCCAAGAACATCCCAAAAACGCCGTTCTCAGCAGTTGGGCATGGCTCGGTCCACTTTACAACGGATTATTCGCATTGATTTGCATTTGTTCCCGTACAAAATTCAATTGACGCAAAGAATGTTGCCTGCGGACAAGCCTCGTCGATTGGAATGGGCCCAAAGAGTCATGGGTCCGTCGAATATGGGCAACCCTGTATTTGTTAATTTGGCTTGGTTTCAGAGCGAACTAATCTATGGGAGGCATATCCAATTCTTAATCGATTTTAGCCAAATTTGACGTAGAATTTTTTATCACTTGGAGAAGGATTATATTTAAAAAATATATCGGAGCGGAGTTCAGCCAAATAGAAACGTACGTCCCGCAAATTACTCCATTTGTGCTGATATTAGCCATTATTTGCAATATGTTTGATGTACTTGCTTCCAGACTGAATTCGGTCGGATGTAACAAAATTCAGAACTTCTGGACTGATATTTGCCATTTGGTGCACAATTAACACGAAATCGGTTGATGATATATATGGGAGCTATATCCAAATCTGAACCGATCTTCAAAAAATTTAGCAGATTTCTGGGCTGTATCTGATATCTGGTACCAAATATAATTCTTGTGGAGTGCATATTACGCATGTGAGGGACTTAAAACACCAAATCGGGTGAAACATGTGTATGGAAGCCAAAGCTATATCTGAACCGTTTTTTACCAAATTTGATGTACTTGCTTCTAGACTGAATTCGTTCAGATGATCCAAAATTCAGGTTATTTGAACTAATATTGTTTGTTTGGTGCACAATTAAAACGAAATCGGTTAAAGATATATATTGGGACTGTATATAAATTTGAACAGATTATCACCAACTGCAATAGGGCTTGTCCTTGGGCCAAATAAATATCAATTGGAAAATTTCATCTCGATCCGATAATAAAAGCGACCTACATTTTGTTCACAAAAATACGGGTACAGAAGTGATCCTCAAAAGTAACTATGGATCTATCTCGCTGCCATCTGCATGTTACAAACAAATTTACAAACACATAATACCCTCACCACTATGTGGTGTAGGGTATATAAATATAAAATCCGCTTTTTTATTGGCATATTTTTAAGCAATTTTCTAAGATATTATCCGAATTGGCCATTTAGAGTTGGTGTGAATTGTCAAAATCAGTCCAACAGTTCTTGATTTATAAGCGGTCTTACTAACAGCCTCTTCTTTAACATATTAGATTGTTTTGCTATAAGGATGAGATAAAAAAAAAAACTGCATCAAAATAAAATTCCCTTTTTTTTAATTTTATTGAATGAAAGCAAAAAATGTCGGAAATACCATTAAATTTTAGATTATGTTTATAGTTGTTCGAATTGGTCACCTTTGGCATGAATTATGGCCTTCAAACGGCCAATGAAACCGTCACACGCTGCCCGAGAGTTGCTCTACGATATTTTGCCCCATTCTCGGTGAAGCGCTTGCTTCAGATGATCGACACTTCGGTATTTTTTAGGGCCAACCTTGCTTTCCAAAATACTCCAGATACAATAGTCCAACGGATTGGAATCCGGAGATTTTGGTGGCCATTTTGCACTGGAAATGAAACGAGGAACCTCATTTTGTAACCATTCTTGGGTGACGCGTGCTGAGTGCGATGGTGCTGAGTCATGTTGGATTGTCTAACGTCTGCGGCCAAAATGTTTGCGTGCCCAAGGCTTTAATACACCCTCCCGAATATTTTCGCGATAATATTCTGCATTTATTCTGATGTCACAGTCGAGTAATACGAGCAGAGAGCGACCATCGACTGTTATGGCGGCCAACACCATCAGCATGGCCGCCGCATGAGTTCTGGTGGCCAACCGAAGGTGCACATTTTCGGCTGATCTCTTTGGCAAGTAAACACGATCATTTTGTTTGTTTACAAACTGCTGGACAACGAATGTTTTCTCATCGGAGAAAACCAAATTCGGCAGTTCACCACTTTCGGCCAAGCCAAGCAACTCTTTTGCTCTTTTCAGTCTATTTTCATTGTGTTGCGGTGTAAGTTATTGCACTTTTTGGAATTTCAATGGCTTTACCCCGAGCTCATTTTTCAATATGGAATATTGTGATATGTTCAGCTCAGGAGCTATTTTTCGGCCACTGCGACGTGGGTTTCGATCAAGTCTCTTCTTTACTTTTTCGAACCATTTCTACTGATGTTTGTGTTTTTTCCCGTCCACTTCCTTGATGTCGGACTACGCCCAGTATCAGGGTAACGAGCGGTGGTACGAGACACAAAAGATTTATTCACGTTTAAATGCTGCAGTGCTCTAACGATAGCCACATGTGGTTTTCCAGTCAAATAAAAATAAATCACACTATCACGCTTTAAAATGAAATATATATATATGGGAGCAAAAGCTATATCTGAACCGTTTTTCACCAAATTTCAAATAAAAATAAATCACACTATCACGCTTTAAATCCACGACGAATAAATTTTTTTTGTGGAAAATTCTCACCAAAATGCTTTTGTACGCTTGTAAACAATATAATGAGCTGTCACTGGAATAATATTAACAACTGTCGGACGAGTGGCTTACTAATGACAGCAGTCTGAAGTTGGTTACAGTGTTTTTCATTTCACCCTGTACCCCCCCACAAGGGATATTTATACATTAAATATTCTCAGAGTATTCATCTGCCAGCAATATCTTGTGAAAAAATAACATAAACACCTTAGTCTCAATTTTGAAGTCTATTATCAAGGTACTGACCAGTATTGGAATTCTTTTATTCATTTTGTGGGTCGATAAAAGTCGAAAAAATTATAATGCTAATAATTTCTGTAATTAACGAAATTTATTTGTAAATTAGCGACGAAATCAAAGTAGACGCTAAGATCTACCGATAGATACCAACGATGTCATCTTCAACTTTTTTATATCAAATTTTTAGGTTTCAAAATTACCGGTTTTTGTCGGTAACAAAGTTTTATAGAATATGGGTCGGCCTCTTGAGTTCACAGAATAATGACTTAAATAAATATAAACAAGTAAAAAAGCAGCTAAGTTCGGCCGGGCTGATCTTTTAATACCTTCCACCATTTGGAAGGAACTTGAAAATGTTAAACGAATTCCGAAAACTACCATTCTATCTTTTAAATGATGACCTTTATACGGGGGCTATATAATTTTTTGTCATAGGCTGTAGTTCCCATTACAAACTTCGAATACGAAATTTGAAACAATTCGCGTGAATGATGACGTTAAAATCATCAAAATACCGAATATCGGGAGCGACGGGGAAAATGTGGAGCGACATGGCCCATTTACGAACTTGCCTACTGGCAAAATACACATGTATGCAACATTTTAGCTTTCTTTCTCAATTCGTTCGAAAGATAGCATGATAGTGTATGCATATAATTTGTAGGGTCTATTATGAATATTTTGAGAAGTTACAAACGGAATGACAAAGCTAATACATATACCCTCCATAGATTGGTGGAGGTTATAAAACATGCAATCAAAGTCATCA